CCTGCCGCCTCCGCTGCCCGGGATGCTGGCACCGCGCCGCCGCCTTCTCAGCTGCTTAAGGCCATTGTGTCGATCGCCTGCTCCAGCTTACTCCTCAGCCGCTGCCTCCGGGCCTGCTCGTCCTTCTCCAATGCAGCTAAAATCTGGGGAAGAGAGAGAAGAGAGGGTGAGGAGATGCCCTCCTGCCCAAAGTGGCTCCTTGTTGCCCATGGCCGCACTGGCTCATTGACCACATCAGGGCATGGGGATGTGGCCCCATGGGAAGGGGCATGCATTCGTTCCCGTCCCTAATGGGGCCAGGAAAGGGCCAAAGGAGGGCAAGGTGGAGGACACTGCCCTGAGTGCTGCCACCCCACAGGCAGAGTCTCCCAGGACCCCCAAGGGGCTGCAGGAACATCAGGACCCTGCTTAATACTAATGAGAAGCCAACCTGCACATGGGGAAATGAAGAAAACGAACATCCATCATCAAATGGAAGGTGAACCCCAGAACCAAGACAACGACACCTTCCTGCCGTGTCTGTGACTCCAACAAACTTTTACCATCCTAGGGAAGCAGGGGCTGCGTTTCAGAGACCACAACCAAGCCCTGAACTGGTTCCATGAGCACAAAAAAGACCACATCCACGAGGCTTCAGCTGCCGCCAGAGGTAAAACCCTGCTCATCTTTCCCCAAGGTGGACAATGGGGGGGCACTGAGGTGACGGAGGGGGACACCAGCTCGATGCACCAGCAAAGCCTGCCTCGCTGGCAGCCCTCAGTCCTGTGCAAGGGGTACACCCACAGAAATCCCCTTTCTCTAAACAAGCTGCTGGCCGCGATGGCACATCGCGGGGTGGAAGGACGGTCCCCTGCCCTGGGCTGGATGCGGCCATGCCCTCAGGGCTGGGGAGGGACTGGCGGCAGCGGGAGGGTGGAGGTCAAGGCTCAGAGTGGGGAGAAGGCAGTAATGAAGGGGCAGTTGCCCTCCCAGCAGCCAGAGTCTCATCTCACTAACATCATGCCAGCAGAGCAGAAAAGCTGATTTAAAAAAACAAACCTGACAGAAATCTCATCTCCTCGGGTGAGCTAGTTGAGAGAGCAAATTTTTTTGCAATTAAATATCAAGGCATCCGTCAAAGGGGACTTGATTAACCATTTCATTGGCTGCATAATTGGAAACAAACTGTTGTATAATTAATAGACTTACTAGGAGGCAGGCAAAGTCCATCAGGAGCCCTACAGGTAACTTCTTAATGGGGAATCAGCTCCCTTTGATTAAGAGCCGCTGCAGTGCCAGCGGGTTGCGGAGCGGCGCGCAGGGCGTGCTGTGCAGCATCCACCACGCTGCCATGCAGAAGCCTCCGGCCACTGACGGGCCCTGGCTCTCCGCCAGGCTTTTTTGGGACAGGACCAGGCTGGTCCCTCTGCCTGCTGGGGCAGCAGGAGAAGCCCGATGGGGAATCTATTCCCAAAGGAAGGGGGAACGCTGCATCTCAATGCCGGCATCAGCTCCTGCGGAGGGGAAGATTCACCAGCGCGAGCCGGGCACATCTGATTTACCTCCCCTGGCAGCAGCGACCCTGGGCTGCAGCTGGACCCGTGAGAGCTCATAGATTCTGCCACAAAACCTGCCGCTGGGGACACTCCCCTGCCATCCATCTCCACAGCCGCTGTCGGCCGTCACGCTACACGTGGTATAAAATAACTATAACAACACTCATGCAGAAATCAAAACCCCACATGCCTGAAAGGTGGCTGAGCTGGAACCAGATGAGATTGGTCTCAGAAGTGGAAGAGGAGCCTACTCTCCCCACCCACCTCCTCCGCCTCTCCCAGTAAGACAGCTGTGTATCCTGGGATGCTGAGGTGTCGAAAGATTCACAACCTGCCCCTGCATTTATTTGCTCCTCTGTCATCTCAGCCTTACAGGAACAACGCAGTCAAAAGAAACCTGTGCCAAGCACAGAGAGACACCCAGGTTTGTCACCTGCTGTAAGGAGCTAGGACCACTGATTACCAAGATGCAAGTACCCAAATGAAAATTAATTATGATTTTCATTCACAGCCAATGACAGCATATTACTGCACTGAACAACAGGAAAAATTATTCTCTCCCATTTTGCATCAAAGAGGGTGCAATCGGGCTGCATATAATTGTGCTTAATGAATGAAAACAAACAAAGGGAACAGCTGCGATTTATTAATCCCATTACAAATAATAAAAGAAGTTCCTGAGAGCTGTGAACACACTTGTGAGGCTCGGAGAGCGGGAGACAGCAAGACACTCAACAGATGTCAGGCTGCTGTTAGTGGGCAAGAAGAGGACCTGTGCCCCTAAAGAACAGAGACCACTGATTACCAAGATGCAAGTACCCAAATGAAAATTAATTATGATTTTCATTCACAGCCAATGACAGCATATTACTGCACTGAACAACAGGAAAAATTATTCTCTCCCATTTTGCATCAAAGAGGGTGCAATCGGGCTGCATATAATTGTGCTTAATGAATGAAAACAAACAAAGGGAACAGCTGCGATTTATTAATCCCATTACAAATAATAAAAGAAGTTCCTGAGAGCTGTGAACACACTTGTGAGGCTCGGAGAGCGGGAGACAGCAAGACACTCAACAGATGTCAGGCTGCTGTTAGTGGGCAAGAAGAGGACCTGTGCCCCTAAAGAACAGCTCATCAATGCCACACAGTGCCCCCCTGCTCTCACCCAAGGCTTGGAGGATTTATTTAAGGCTTAAGGGACTTTTAGGCTGGAGGAAGTGAGCACTTGATGATCACTGAGGGATGATGGCTGGCCCACAGCAGATCTAGATCCTCCAAGGCTGCTCTTCCACTCTCGTGGTAGCCACAGAGCTGTTGTACAGAATGTGAAACCCCCAAAACCCTTCATGGCCAACTCATCACACAGAGCTATGGGGGCCTCCTGGATGTGCCATCCCAAGTCGTTTGAGGAGTGGCACAGAGGTCCCACCAGCATGGTCATCAGTACCTGGCCACCAGCTGCACGGTGACCACCGTGTGGCACCTTCGCAAGCACCATGGTTTCCTCCCAGTCCTGCAGGCAAGCCAGGCCCTCCTCCTCCTCCTCAGTCCTGCAAAGCACCTAGCTCCACAAGGATTTTGGCCACCATGGTCCCAATGCAGACCTTAGACCCAGAGGCCAGGTCTGCTATGACCTGCCCATGGACTCCCTGAATTCCCACCTCAAAGAGGCGCTGGGAGATGGCTCTCAGGAGGGTAAGATGGGGACCCTGTTTCCTCCCCCTGCAGGTTGAAAGGCCGTCTCTCCCCAGCTCTCTCCAAGCAAGGAGATGTTCTGGCACTCTGTCACCCAAATAAGCCACCACTCAAACACAATCGTCAGTCCCCTTTATTGGGACAATAAAACCTATACTATCATGTTATATGTATAGATCCACATTTTACTGTAGTTACATATTTTATTGCTTTAATAAAAAGATGCGGCGGGTGGATCTGAGTGGTGCTTTATGAAATTAATTTGTATAAATTACAACAGAGGGGGTTTTAACCATTCTTACTGATGTTCACAAAGCAAGCCCTAAAGAGGCCACCACATCCTCTAGCATCCCTGGGGAGCAGAGGCAGACGCTGCCTGTACAATCACACAGTATTGGTACCGCCGCGGTGCCAGGTCGGTGGTGGTGGGCAAGGGAGTCACACTGAGATAACGCCACGAACTCTGCAGCCCTGCAGAGCTCATGTGCCAAATGTATAGAAAGGTGTTTCCCACACTACTCACTACAGAAAACACGGGGCATGAAGCACTGCCTACACCAGTGCCCAGCTCCATGCCTCCCAAACCTTTCCTTCCCCACCAGCCCAAGCACAGACATGGACTACATTGTTCTCTCCTGCATTTCACAGGATGCTTTTGTATACACAAAAGCAGGGGGCTGCAGAAATGCGGGCAAAGGGATGCAGCTCGCAGCCCAGGCTTGACTCCCCATCACCATGTCTTACCTCGTCCTTGTACTTGGTGATGTAGGAGTAGATCTCGTGCAGCGCGCTCATACTGTTGAACTGGCTGAGGTGTAACCGCGACTGCTCCGCCAGGTATGCGCTCATGTCCTGGTCACTGATCGCTGGCATTTTAGCTATATCTGCATAATATCTGCAGGGGAGAAAACAGAAGAGCAGGTCAGAAATAGGGACAGACAGAAGGGGACAAGCCCCTG